TTGAATATTTTTTTTTCTACCAATACGGCAGCCATCTTGAATTCTATTGTTTTAATGAAGACATTATGGGATGCCGAGGGGGCAACTATTGGAAAATTCATAGACAGCACAGCTGTCAGGATATCTTTTTATATAACTTTACGCTTTTCAATGAGAAGCACATCTCAGTAGTACACTTATCCGCTGCCATGGAAACAGAACATGGCGCATGCGCATTAATAGGTTCTGCTATCAAATGCAAACTCGGAAAAGTTAATCCTACTTTTCTTCTTTATCAGAAAGCACTTTGAATTTATCTCTAATAGCTTCTAGAAATTTAGCAAATTCTGTTTTGAGAGACTTGAAGCGATGAAGTCACAAATAGGTCTTTAACATCATCCTGGGGATGTCTGCGATAATGTTTTTTAAATACCTGCAGGGAAAATAATTTCTATAAAACAGCATGTTAGTGACCCACGTGATGTAACCTGTTTTTCAGTTTCATAACAGGATATTAACGAAGGCTTAGCGTGTTTGATAAAATAAAAAATCGTGATCTTTTAGTGAATAATTCAATATGGTATTTTTGACATTCCTTTTATTGCTTCTGTTCTCATAGTTTACTTTATTTCCAAGTTTTTCATCTCCAATAATTTTATTATATAATCTTATTTGATTTAATTGGGATATGTATTTTATTCCATTATGTTTTAGTATACATTTTTAGTTTTGTTCTCAACTTTCTTTTATTTTTTAATTTTTTTATTGAAATTTCACTTTATTCTCTTTCTTTCGGACAGTTGATGCTCAGTCTCATGTATGATATTAAAATTTATGGCCGTTTCAAATATTCATGCAAGTATATCAAAAGTATATCAGACACGGCGGGATATCTTTCTTGATATTATTTTCAGAAAGCCCTAGCGATAGACAGCTCGAAAAAAAATATCAGGGATGATATCCCATAATTTTTGATATACTTTTGATATACTTGTATATATATTGGAAGCGGCTATAATTTTTGCAAAGGGCTGTATATATATAGAAATATGCAGAAATTCTGGTCTTGTTGTACATATATACAGGTATATTAAAAGTATATCAGAAATTATGGGATATCATCGCTGATATTTTTTTCGGGTTGCCTATCACTAGGGCTTTCTGAAAAAAAAAATCAGAGATAATTGTCGTTTCCCAGAATAACATAACGTCTCAGCTTCTATGTTTTATGCTTTTTAGTCGGGCATTGATTTTTCAATTTAGTGTATATACGGGATAAAAATAGTAAAACTATTGTATTTATAGCGCCTGTTGCATCCTGTTGTCTCCATTTCTTTCCATCTGGTGTTTCAGTTTTATTTTCCATTTTGTGACAAGAAAAAGAAAGGGAAATGTGAACATGACTTCTTAGGACCAATCTAGTCGTACTTTTTAAAAATGGAGGAATAATTAGTTGGTAGTAAATGAGATATAACTAGCTAAAAACTAGTATGAGCTGCGTCGGTGTTTCTAATCCGTGAAAAGATAAAGAAACTTACTAGTTTTTTTTCCATCTTTTCACGGTGTATAATTTACCTTTTTATCATTACTAGTTGGTAGTAAATGGAGGAAAACTTAAAATAGGCGGATCCCAATCCTTGGTAATCCTATTTTATCTTAATTTAATATTCTTAGACTAGTTTTGATGGAAAGAGGATCTAATGAATAGGTTCCTATTTCTATAAAGTTGGGTATTTTATGCCGATGGCATATATTTTTCTTCATTCTCCCAAAGTTTTTTCTCAGTTTTTAATTTTTATTTGTTCATTTAGTGGTCGTCCTATGATGTTTATAAATTTGCATTGAATTTTCTCATACATTACATTATATCGTTCTTAATCATATATTTTATATATTTTTGTTTTTGTTTTTTCATTTTCTTTACTACAAAACGAATTCTCTCAATGAGAAAAAGGGTATGTCAGCGCCTTTGCCATTTCTGGGGGTGGGTGAGTAATATATGACTGTCATGCAAAATGATTGATAAAAGAGATTTCAAAATTTAGTTTAAATGGAGGAAACTTAAACTTGATATTATCTTAACTTGATATTATCTTAATTTAGAAAAAAACTAAAAAAGAGACCAAAGCTTCTGATTTTTTTGTTTTGTTTTTTGTTCATTAAAGTGAGAGAGGGTCTTCGTACGGCGTTTGTCGCCTCAGTAAAAAAAAAAAAAAAAAAAAAAAACCCAAAAAAAAACAACAACAACAAAAAAACAACAAAACAAAACAAAACAAAAAAAACCTGGCACGTGCAAAGAGTTTTTTTTCTGTTCAAAATTGTAGCCGGCAAAAATTGAAGAGAAAACGATCATTGGCCGTCTCAAAAAAAAAAGGGAACTACAAAGTGAACTCTTGTGTAAATCATTTTCCCACTCCTGTGCTTCGTACTTTGAAGATGAACTGATATGCTTCTTATTTCGCAAACTAAAATATCCAACAGATCTTCAAGAAACAACGCCTGCTTGTGCTCAAAAATACTTCTCCAAATCCTTTGTATTTTGGATTGTCACTGATTCTTCTAATATTAAATTCTGCTGCCAAATAAATGACGATTCTCTTTTGCTTTTTATTGCGAATTTATCTTGTTAAATATTGCTTTGTTCGAAATGAGAAAAAGCCCTCTCAATATGATCTTATTCGTTTGAGAGTTTTTAGCAATTACTCCAACAATCAATCTACCGTCTATTAGTTTTGTTGTCGGCGCTTGTAGGTTGTTATCTAAAAATCCGGTTTTTTGTTCTTCTGTAGTAAATTTTCTGTCCTGTTTAGCTTTTCTTTTGTCTCTAGTTTGGAAGTTTATGTTTCGTTCTAACTTACGCTTTTCATTTTCTCAGAGTTCATAGCTCTGATTTTTTTTGTATCATTGTTGCACAATTTACTTCGTTAAATAACATCCTGATTTAGAACCTTATCGTTTGAGATCTCTATATGAAAAAGCATTCAATATATATAGTAAATAGATGAATTGATATTAAAAATTAATGATATTGAAAACCTTCCGATGTACCTTCAAGGGGACCCTGTGTCCTGTTCAGCTGTTCATGAGCCTGAGGGCAAAATCTCTTTCTTAAGGCAACAAGGCATTGGAAAAATTATTAGTGGGAGTGAGAGTAAACTCGCTGAAACACGAAAATTTTTTGCTCCCCACGAAGATTAGCTTTGTTTATGTTTCTGGATATTAAAGTTTTAATCTAACTTTGTATTTATTAAAATGGATAACAACAACAACAGCTAAAATGCATCCAAATTTCAATTCAGTCTTAAAATACTAAAATTGCAAGAAATGCCGTTGAAGGGTTTTCATCACACGACTGCCTTTGTCAGACAATCTTTCATTTTCGCTTGTTTTTAAAGTTGATTTTAAATTTCACACCTCGCAATAGAAGTAAATGTTTATTTTGGGAATGTATTTTGAATAAAAAAAATATATAAAAGAGTTTTTTTTAAAAGACGAAAGTCAAGAGTCAACTTCATTTCGGCTTGTCTTCTCCAAGGATGTAAAAAAGACATTGTTTGCGGCGACGATGAAAGAATATACCACAAAAATATAGCAAATCAGACCTCAAATCGATTTAGTTAATGTCCTATCATCTGTTCTTTTCAATTCAATTCAGAATGCAAATACAGCGAGATCAAATGTTTGACTTAAATTATCAACAACACACAAGATATTGTCGATGATAGCAACGACCTGTGTTTATCTCAAGTTGTTATGGCGATGAAAAGGCAAAAATGAGTTTGTATCTCTTGCAAAGGTCAAACATGTAGCAAGTCATTCAGTGCAATTTGAAAGCTAACCATGATATTTGCTAAAAAGTCATTTCTTTTCGTGAAAGAAGGATTTTCTTGTCCTGACAGTGTTCAAGGGAAAAAAATTACAAAGGAAAGATATTGCCAATTTTCGAACTTCATAACAAAATTTTTCGTAGTAGTTGTCTTCCAAAAGGTCGTCAGTCGTTTTGTCTTTCATTCAGTTGTACTTTCTGTTTTTTAATGATTTAGAGGATATTTTCCAGACGCGTGCCCTGGCGTCTTTCATCATATATACAAAGATTTCGGTCGCGAATCATAAACAATACCATTTAGACCTTGTTTTGGCAGAGTTCCGCCAACCTTCAAAGGTTAACGCCTTTGGTCATTTTCCTTCGGCAGTTTGTATGAACGCGAAAAAATATAATTAAAGATATTGAAACTGGAAGGAGAATCGAATCTAAGCTAGGATTATCGGAATTCATTTCCCAAAGATAAGAAATTTAAACCTCCAATATTGTTATGAAGACTGAATTTTGATTCTGCGCATAAGGTCGATGATGATGGAACCGGAACGATTGCACACTTCAATTTGTAAAACTTGCTGTTAATATCCACATATTCTATTTATACTAGTAATCAAGTCATTCTAGCTTTGTTTTGTGTTGGTTTTTAGATATGAAGTCGTTGAAGCTGTAAATTAGTTTTTTTTTTTAAATTTTGGAGGTGGAAAACACTGATAGGAATGGAACTTTCTCATGCGGTAGGTGACCACTGGAACTACGTAAAATAAACAGAAAGAAAGAAAGAAAATGAATAAATGGGATAAAGAATTCTAAATAGAGCAAGCTTTTTGTATGTATTCAGTTGTTTCTTTGGCCAAACTTTTATAATGTTTCATGCATGCGGTCCCCTTTGCACTCGTTACAGCCGACCCGTCCATGAGCGGGGATCAGGGGAAAAAAACCAACTTACAATAATATTCTTTCTCTGCGAAAACTAAAGACAAATAAGCTTGTCAACCCGACATTATTAGAGCTCTTAGAGGAGTTGATGGTGTTATGCACTAAATAGGATTATATTCTCATTGGCATAAGAGACAGACCGGTATTGATGAAAGTTTGCTGTTAGTGGCGTTGCTGATATAAATTATATATATACCTTTAACACAACTCACAATACTAATAGGTCTTTTATTTCAATTCTCTGGAAACAGATTGTTAACATCTAGCTGTTCAAATACATTCAAATTTACATAGTATTTGCTTTAAGTATTATTTACCTTTATGGCGTTCTTTCCGTTTCGTGAACTAATTTTTGATTTATCTCATTTTCAAATGGACAAGTTCCGATTCTCGATAATACTAGCGTTCCTGATTGGACGAGTTGATGTTTTGACCATCTTTGTAGCGGGATATATTTTTTTACAGTAGCTTTTTACTAAGTAATGAATGGTTATTGCATTACTGCTTTGTTCACGGATAGAAAATCGCTTTCTTCATATACCCATGTAATATATGACAAGTGACAATCGTTTTTCTTGTCAAATTTATTGCTTAGTAGGCTTTGCAGCTGCGCGACAACTGAGAAAAAAGAGAAAATAAAACCAGCAGGAGTTGAAAGGAAATAATAAATACCATATTTGAGCTTACAATGGGTAGCCTTAGATAGCCTTGTCGCGATAGAAACGGCGAGACTTGTTGAGAATTCAATGTCAGTTCTGTAAAACGAAAACATTCGAGGTTTTATCTACACTAGATTTTTCAATGATGGGTATAAGCAGGGCAAGGGCTGAGGAAACGTAGGACATTATTAATTGACTTCACTTTATGTTAACGCTAATATTGTATGCCAGGCATTGCCATCCTATCACTACACATGAGATTATAAACTCATTTACAGGACTATTTAATGCCATTGTTTCCTGCATCGAGTTTTGTTTATCCCGTTCTTGTTGGCGCCATTTCCTTGACGTCTCCGCTCTGTCGATGTCCTTCAACAACTTATGAAAACGAGAAGCGAAGAAGCACTTCCACTCTTCTTACTCGCGGTAAAACTTCAATTCATTGATGTCGTAGCTCTTCAAATATAGGTCTTCTTAGATTTCACGTATATGGTAATAACTTGGGTCTTTTAATCACTCCTGTTTAATTTAAAATCAACGTTGAGACGGCTAAACTCGTTACGGCCAAGGATTTAGTCTAATTAGTACGCGAAATGCACGTATATACGTCACAGTATTCCAAGGACGTTGATTGGTCGAGAATTTCATTATCCGAACGTGCAATAACGACTTTGTGACTTGCTCATTTGAAATCATTAGAAGCGATCGGGTTATCAACGTCTGCGCGTTGGCGGGCTGGCTATCTCCATAATAAACACTGACAGACGGAAACTTCACCAGATCAGTTCAAGACATCGAAGAGATTGGTCCAAGAAAACCTTCAAGTTGAGCCTTTTTTTTCAATGCGTTGAATGTGAAGACAAGGAGCACCATTGCTGAGAAGTTGATTTTCTAGCTGGAGGGAAAACACCTCCTTATACGACATTGCTGTTTTTTTCTTCTGTTATCGTTTTTGGCGGGCTAACAGCGACTGACGAAACTGGTCTTTTCTTTGTCATTTTGTGAAGCAGTAGAAATTCTACGATGAACGACACAATAGCCAACAGTACAGAATCCCATGGGCTACAAAACCCAGCTTTAGACGGAGCGTTCATCGTTTTAAGCATATTTATTCTGATCATCAACAGCATCGTCATCTACTTGTTTTTCTCTCGCGAGTATCTGCAGACAAAAACCAATAGCTTGCTCGTCAGCCTTGCAGTCAGCGATCTGATGGTAGGTCTTCTTGGCATCCCGCTCAACATCGCGTGTAATGCTGTCACAGTCTACCGGGACCAAGTGTGTTATGCAGCCGCCCTGACTTACCGCCTGCAAGCTGTTTCAGAGATGGCTCACATATTTGTGACAACAATCGAGAGGTACATCTATGTCATGTATCCAATGAAGTATATTCGTATCGTCACCGCACCTAGAATCCTCAAGGTGATGGGAAGCGTGTGGTGTTTTTCCATCTTCGTGGCTTTCATCCAGTTCGCTTGGAATAACCCCAACGAGATCCTGGGAATGCCGACTCCAACCCGAATGGTCTACGATGCTGTTTATAACATTTTCGGCGCCCTGGTCTGCTTCCTTCTGCCGCTCATTGTCATGATCATCAGCTACTCCCGTCTATTTGTCGTTATTCACAGGCAGATCAAAGAAATCCACCTTCAAAACTATCCCAGAAGTGGGTCAGGATCGCAGCGTGCGCCTGTCGCTACCGAAGCCCGTGCTATTTCAATCTTTGCGTTGATGTTGTCAATTTTCACGCTTGCCTGGTCTTCGTGGTACATCATGTCTTTCAGCTTTTTCTTTGGCTTTTACCAACATTTATCCGATCACCTCCTGGATTTCTTGGATTTCTTCAGATTTTCAGTGGCATTTATCAATCCTATCCTGTACACATTCCTCAAACGAGACTTTGCGCGCGCTTTTAAGTCCCTAGTCATGCGCGAAGGCGTGCGCCCACGCGAGTTTGTCACCTCGACTCGTTTGAAATCTCGTGGGTTTGCTTCGACGTCAATGCAAACGCGAATGTCAAATTCCTATGGAGACGAAAATCCTATCACTGCCAATGGAAATACTGCTTGAACAGTGCCGATGGAAAATGGAAAAAGAAGAAAAACAGTGCAAGGAACAAACTGAATTTGTGGATGGAAAAAGGGAGTGAAAGAAAAAAAAACTGTGTCAGTAACAGACATGGTATCATAGAACACCCTCGTCGGTGAAAAAAGAAGCCGGTGTAAGCCCTACTTCTATTTGCATCTTGTCGGAGTAGAGTAAGGGAGACTTAAAACACTCAAATCCAGAATTAAGGATGAGATTAAATGGGTTTCTTTGTTATCTTGTTAGCCCTATCGCATGACTCGCGTGCGACCAATGGGCGACAGCGTTGGAGTGGAGTAGGATAAATGAAACAATTAAAAAACTATCTAGGATAAAAACAATCAGTAACCTTGAGAAACGACGTATTTTGAATGCTAATATTAAGCTTGAGGGACCTAAACTGAAAACTGAAAACTGGCCCAAAAATGGGAAATGAAAAAACGAACATTTATGATCGATGAAAATGAATATCGTATGTCGTTAAAGTCAACCGTTTTATGTACATCCAAGCGGCGTCAAACAGGCTCGAAGCTCTATGCTCAAAAACGGCCATAAAAATTGGAATAAAGATGTCTTTATAAACAGCTACCTAAATTTACAAACCTGACGAAAATAAATTCAAACTCACAGCTTGAAGCAAGTTGACTTTGAAAACTAAAAAGGGATATAATTTCTGCTAAAAGGTTGATTTAGCTTGAGTTTGAATTTTAGGAGTAGAAACACAGATGGCTTAGTAATTTGGACAGCTGCTCATGCTGTTTTAGTTTTAGTGTTTTAGTAAAAGAGAAGAAAATGAGATGAAGAAATAACAGAGTATTCTTTGATATCGAAATCTTATTTTCAATATTTCATTTTTTGTTTATTTGTTTATTCCAATTCTTGTAACCCAATGTTTCTAATTGTAACTATAAATATAATATAAAAAAATACAACTATGATAAATTTTGAAATTATCAAATGAATATTTGCTCTCTATTGTTAAAAAGCTTTCACGGTAATTCTTTTCTTTTTCTGTTGTCTCGCTATAGTTAGAGAAGCCTTTGTAGATTGTCATATGCTAATACATCGGCACGAGACGACGGCAATGTTTCATTGCGGAGTGAAAAAATACGTTAATATACTTGTAAAGTGTTTCTATCCTACCTGTAGCATTGTTGGGATAATTTTTTGAAAAATCAAGGTTATGTATGACATCATAGAAATAAGATTTACAGGGAATGAGGGAATTTCACTTTCCTTTCTAGGACCGACCACCTTCACGCCATTAATGGCTCGATTCATGATTGAAGTCATGATGAAAAAGATACCTAAATCATTTTGTGGATTATCCAAGATTGAATATTATTTTCATTGTGCTTCAGTTTCACAGAAGTCTATATTTGTCTGTATATTTATTCAGCGCTTTTGTTAGCGGGATTACAATCGCCAGGATTATTTTATGTAGATCAACACATTTCTATTTTAACACAATATTACACTTCAAAATTCCAAAAGTCCCAAGCGCATTTCTCCATCCTTTAGATTCAAAATGCGTATGTTTTCACCGACGTGTCGTTAACTCCAAATATCACCAACTTAATAGTATAAAAATATAAGTGTTTTTCATAGTTTGTTCAAGAGTAAAGCGTCATCATATCGAGTAGCATTTCTAGGCGGTCACACCGTGTTCGTTCCTCTTCAAAAAGGGTTGTGTTTTGATTATTTTTGATCACTTTGATAAAAAATTTTGATAAATAAGTAGAATGCGGATCCAGACACGAGACTCCAAGAGCTTTTAGTTTGTTTTATTACGACCAAAAAATCTTGATATCGTAATTTGCTAAAACGCTGTTTGCTCTTTTTACAGCCAGTATTATTTTTAAGATTTAATATCAATGCCATAATATTTATCAAATTTTCCATAAACATTCATTTCACGATTCCTTATTGTTTTACAATAAATTAGACACAAATATATTTTTTAAATTGAGAATTTAACCTAAAGGTCTAGGAAATTTATTTCTCTCCAAATATTTAAGTAAATGTTATCCGCGGCAATTACAAAACACAACAAGTATCTCTTCCTTGACTTTTGTTTTCTGCTGCAAAATAAATTTTATTCAGTCTTCCTCCCTTGTTTGAGAAAAAAACATCGTTTCAACCGGATAAAACAGCAAAATATCCACACAAAAGAAAACAATTACTCAATATCTTTATCCTGCATTGTTTTGCTTGTCAAAAAAATTTCGAAGATAATCAAAAAAAATTTCGAGTACAACCTAGTTAAAAATCTAACTTACCATTTTGTCAAAATGACTAGTGAAAAATGACTATTTTCGCTCGTGTTTTTGTTGCATTTTCTTAACGTTTCCCGCCGTTTTTAAGAGTTTTAAGAGTCTTATGATAGCAGCATGAAGTGGCAATCATGTCGGGCGGTTTTGTTTAAAGAGCTTAGTAGAGGCGGAAAGTCATATTGAGAGAGTTAAAATTTGAGTTTTCAAAATCTTATAGAGATTATTTTGAAGTCATTCGACATCTTTCAAGTTAAAAGAAACTTCTTCCCAATGCATTTTCTAAAACATTAGAGAAAATTGTTTTTTTTTTGTCAGGCGGGTGGGAAATGATATTATAAACTGGTATTCTTGAAATGGGGTTTGTAAAAAGCTGTCCTTTTTAGTGTTAGTTTGAGAGCTACATAAGTTCAAATGTTCCAAAATAAAGAATATTGATAGTCATGTAAAAAGTAACAACTTTTTAAAAAATTTAGGACTAAAGATACATAAAATTTTACAACGAAAACACTCGAACCACTCATAAAACTTCGAGTATTTAGTCACTTTTTTGAAATGCATTCTGTAAATCATCTCTTGAGCAAATCGATTGGAAATAAGATTTATTCTGATCACTCGGTATATTTGATCTCAATGCTTCATTTCAGAGGGTTTGAAAGAGTAGAAAATTCAGGAAATAATAACCTAAAAAACAACTTGAAGTGTTCATGGTTCGAGTGTCCTCACTGTAACTGATTTAGTAATAGGTTTACAATACTGACTTGACTTGAGTCTTTTTGATTATATCTATAGTCGTATACACCTATTTCAAAAAACAAAAACAAAAAAATGTCGGTTGGAGATCTAAATCTTAAATCTTATGCCAAATAAATTGCCCGCAAAATGTAATACATTAACAGTCGAACAACGTAGTTTCTTTTTAGATTGGAATATGAAGCATAATCTTTGAGTTAGCAACATGATTTTTCGTATTTTAGCCAGAAAGCATAAAAGCTTAAAAATTTCGCATAGTCTCAGATCGCAGGCAACGTTGTTTGAAATAGGTGTATGCACGGTATCAAATATTACTAGTAATTTATACAATAGTTGCTCTACAGAGTTCTGCTCTGTACATATATTTACTGAAGTCACCACGTTGTTTAAAATTAATGTAAATAAATAAAATCGAATAGAGAAAATTTTGTGGGAAAATGATTGAGTAGAAGGCCTTATTTTTGTTGATATTATTTTGGTTTTTTCATTAATTTCCTTCAAATATCTTGTAGAGTGAGGTTTAAATCAGAATAAAAAGTTATTTCTGTGATATAGTTTTTCAGCCTTGGTTTATCATTCTAATTATTTCTAATATTGAAAATAATACCTTTTTCCGTAGGGAGTAAAGAGAAAAAATAAACAAATGAAAAATCGTTGTCATCAGATTTTAAGCTGAGCACTCTAGTCCTAAGAAAAAACTCATTTATTCGTGTCTCCAATTTGAAAACCATCCTCCAAGGCCTAAGATTTTCAAGCTTCATTTTTTTGTCTGTCAATTCTATCTAAAACACGTGACAACATTTCTCCATTTTCTCATTGTTTCAAATAATTGACATTAGCCAGGTTATACGTGACAATATAAGAACGAGATGTGAAATTTATTGTTATTGAAAAAAGAAATAATCAATTCAGCCAAAAATTGAATTTCGAGTTCACAGCGAGAAATATAGACAAAAGTGTTTTTTATTATTTTCTAACAGCTGTTGCACTCAAAAACGTTAAACACAAAATGTTTAGACTTCGTTGTCTATTAGCAATTTTATGCTTTAGAAGTGATTGACAATCTACGTTTCCAAAATTACAGACGAGCAAACACCATAGATTTACGTTAAAAGGTTTCATGAAGATGCTTATCTTATTTCAAGAGTTCCAGAGGTTTTGAAATTGTCAAGAGAACAATCAAAACTAGTTTCAAAGTTATAAAGTATTATTTAAAAAAAGAAAAAATGAAATAAAAAAATGTTGGCAAAACAGGTTGGAAATTTATTAATCTGTTGATAGAAGACGTTTGCTCACAGTAAGGGTACCACTGTTTGTTGCTTTGAAAATTAGTCATAAAGCGATATTATTCTTGTCTTTAAACCTCGAAAAATAAAGAAGTTATTAAATTAATTTTACTAGTAGTTTCAGTATGTTTAGATCTACAGTTGTGGAAGCTGATATATTATTTTACTACTTCGTAATGAGGAATTTTGGGCAGGCTGTTGACCTTTTTTCGAGAAATATTATTTTTTGCTTTATGTGGGAAGGTTTTTTATTAACTTTCGCACAACTAGAATTACTTAAAGCTAATATATTTTTGCTAAATATGAAAACTAGTTTTAAACATTGTTTTTTTTCCCTTTCTTTCTTTCTTTCTTTTTTTCTTGAGCTTTTTGCACAATGCAAACTGAAATTCCGAATTTGAAACATGTGACATGTTCCATATTTTTATTCACAACGAAAACCGACGATTTATGTGTTTGTTTTGTGGGATGTATTAGACTCCAGTAAGAATTTATTATTCATTTTTTATCTCATTCAAGATCGTTTAAAAAAGACTAGCGGAAAGTTACCTTTCAAACTGCGAAGCAAAGTGCTTGTAAAAGCCGTCTCCTGCAGTTAATGGTTTGTTATTTGTCGAGACTTCTATCGTTGAATATTAGAACACGATTAGAAAGCGAATGAAGGCGTTCTACTTAGTAAGTTTTTAAGAAATTCCCACTCTGGTGTCATAATATTTAATAAAATCGCTATCTCGGTACTAATTTTCAAAAATTTCCTTTCGAAACTGAAACTCTTTGATTCGAGTGGTCATAGAAGAATATATTTCTCAAGAAATATTCAAGCGAATTCGACCAGTAACTTTGTTTCGTAGAATAAATGACCTAGGAAAAGAGGGGTCAGCTATGACCTTACAAAGCTCTTCTACTCGCAGAATATTCCGTTACGACACTCGAATTTCAGAGAATTAATAAATGGCCTCTTTGATAGGTGAGATATACAACCCGAGGCATTTTGTATTTGCGTTAATAGATTATTTGCTTCCTATTTTGTCATGTTTGACAATTGTTCCAAGATATCCCTTTGTTTTGAAAAGTGTTTGAAAGGGGAATGGAAACCCAGCTAACTTGGCGCCATCTCGCCTAAGTTTATCCTTGCGTTCATGATTCGTTTCTTCCTATGTTTTCAAACAAGAAATAAAAATTAAGACGTTTTTAGGCGGCGTTAACCGTATTATGCTGTCTTAACACGTGTAACGAAGGAAGCTTTACGCTTTTTTAACAGCAAGTAGTTCTTAA